GTTTCCCTACTTAGGGTAGGTCTGGATACAGCTTGGGGGTAATCGGCCCTCCTTTTGGTTACAGGATAAATCAGGTCAGCCAGGACTCCCCTCTAGGGCTCTAGGATGGTCAGAGGAGGATAGCTGGGGGGTTAAAATGCTCGGTGCGGAGCAAAATGAAAGGGGATTCCCATAGTGTAGTATTTTAAAGATGAAATGCTTTAATAGTAATGCATATTAAAAAGGTCATAAGTAAAACATACACTGTGACTAGTGCAAGCGAAGTATAAGCAATACAGTGAAATCGCTCAGTATGACACTGACCGGCTGGTAATGTAAAATGGCCGCTGGACCTCCGTGATCCAGCGGCGTGGCGTCACAGCATGCAGGGCTCCTTCCTTGACGCATTTCGAACAAAGGTTCGTTCTCAAAAGGGGTGTGCTCCATGTGCAGCCAGACACCATTATTCTGCCTTGTATATAGATGGTGAATTGTGCTCTGATTAATGAGCGCCATTTTGCCAGAGACCAAGCACTAGAGTGCATGCGCGAGTGTGCGGGCACCATTTTGCGTTGGTCAATAGGCAAGGTATAGTGTGCTCTGATTACCAAGCGCCATTTTGCCGGAGACCACGCGCTAGAGCGCATGCGCAATAGCGTGGGAGCCATTTTGCGTTGGTCTGTAGGCAAGTTAACATTGAACTGAAGCTCAGCGGGGAATGCGCATGCGCCATTTTCCCTGTGTATTCTTGGTAATGGACACGGACGGCTGCAAGGATGTAGTCTTGCTCTGTAAATATATATTACAAGTATGTAGGATGTAATCCCGTCCTTTGAGATGAATTCTACTTTTTCAGACTGTTGGAATATTGTATGAGTGTTGTCTTATGATGGACATACTGTACAAGCGAAAGGAAACACCTGAAAGACAGCATATGTAATGGACTTGGAGTATTCAGAGTTGGAGAAGCCGGACTATGGGGTGGGCTTCCTGGCTGCTCAGCGTTCATCACAATATTATTCATCATCACAAACTGATCTGCACTCTCCATGTGATCAGAGGCTAAACTTAGCTCTTTTCCATGCTCTGACTGGGAGAAGCAGACAAAATCCCTGGTCTTCTCCATGGAACAAAATCAGTTGGTAGAAGCCTAGCTCCTAGTCCCCTCAAAACTCCTGTGCCCAGATTGGGTCTGTCACAGGCTGCCTTTCCATTTTTTATGCAGAAGACTTGTACTCCTGGGAAGACAGCAAATATCTGTAGCCAGAATTCTAACTATCATAGTGGGCTTCTTTTTTTTTTTTTTTGTCTTAAAGAGGAGCTCCAGCCATTTTTGTGTTTATTAACAGTCAGCTACAAAAATTGTAGCTCCTGACTTTTAAAAAACACGCGCTTACCTGTCCTAGAGTCCAGTGATGTTGTTACCCGTGCCATCCCTGCTCTCTTTCACGATGCTGTAATCTCAACTGTGGGCACCAGGCTGTGACAGCTTGCGGCCTCACAGCCTGGTGCCCACTGCGCATGCATGAGTTGCGCTGTGCCTCCCCGTTGGTCCAGCAGTCTCTTCTGGGACCTGTGAAAGTTCCCAAGAGACTGCGGGAGGAAGGAGGGAGCCGAACTTCTGGCTCACTTCACCACGGCAAACTGAGCCAGAAGTGGGAGCGGGTACCTGTCAAAACCAGATACCCACTCCCCCCTTCCCCCCAAAAGGTGACAAATATGGCAGTGGAGGGGGGAGGAAGCGGAGTGTCTGCTTTTGAGTGGAACTCCGCTTTAATATCTATCATGTTATTAATGAGCATATACACTTACCGGCCACTGTATTAGGTACACCTGCTCAATTGCTTGGTGACACAAATTGCGAATTAGCCAATCACATGGCAGCAACTCAATGCATTTAGGCATCTAGATGTGGAGAAGACGACTTGCTGAAGTTCAAACCGAGCATAAAAATGGGGAAGAAAGGGAATTTAATTGACTTTGAATGTGGCATGATTCTTGGTACCAGACAGGCTGGTCGGAGTAGTTCAAAAACTGTTGATCTACTGGAATTTTCACGCACAACCATCTCTAGGGTTTACAGAGAATGGTCAGAAAAAGAGAAATATCCAGTGAGTCAGTTGCGTGGACAAAAATGCCTTGTTTACGTTAGAGGAGAATGGGCAGATTGGTTTGAGATGATAGAAAGGCAACAGTAACTCAAATAACCACTCATTACAACCAAGGTATGCAGAATACCATCTCTGAACACACAACACGTCAAACCCTGAAGCAGATGGGCCACAACAGCAGAAGACCACATTGGGTGCCACTCCTGTCAGCTTACAATAGGAAACAGAGGCCACAATTCACACAGACTCACCAAAATTGGACAACAAAAGATTGGAAAAACGTTGCCGGGTCTGATGAGGAGTCTCGATTTCCCTAGAGATGGTTCTGCATGAAAATCCCAGTAGATCAGCAGTTTTTTAAATACTCAGACCAGCCCATCTGGCACAAACAACCATGTCACATTCAAAGTCACTTAAATCCCCTTGCTTCCCCATTCTGATGCTCAGTTTGACCTTCAGCAAGTCGTCTTCACCACATCTAGATGCCTAAATGCATTGAGTTGCTGCCATGTGATTGGCCGATTAGCAATTTGTGTTACTAAGCAATTGAACAGGTGTACCTCATAAAGTGGCTGATAAGTGTAGATCTAAAATAATGTGTGTAAACATCTCTCTGAACTAGGGTGGTATTTAGTAAAATGTTATTGTATGGTAATCTGGTAAAAGGTTTGTGGATGAGTTTTTTGGTGAATTTTTATGTTATGATGATAATGGATTTAATGCATTACCCATATTTTCTAACCACTTTCCACCACTAGTTGGGTGTAGCTCTGTGCATTGTTTGGTAGTTACAGGCTCACATACCTTACTAGGTATGAGTCAGTGGGGTGTTGGAACAAAAAAAAAAAAAATGTAAAAAGAGAAGAGAAACTGGAAATTCCCATACCTACTTATGTGACCCTTTTCACTGGAGAAAAAAAAAACAAATATTTTAAGTTGTAATTAGTACTATTATACTCATAATAAAAAGCATTGTTGTTTTTTCTGGATTTAAGTAGCTGTGGCCCCAAGTAGACACAACAAGGTTTATTGACTAAAGGCATAAAGACTGTTCCATTATCAAAAGTGAAAATTATCTTGAAAAACTGTATGCTTGCATTGCAAAATCAAGTAAACCTGTACTCACTTATAACTACATATGTGCCAGCACATAACTGATTGAAAAAGGAACAGTTTCATCTTATTTACGAAGCTCAGCGAACATTCATTTTGCAAAGTCAGAAGTCTTTGTAACTTTAGTAAATCAATCCCAATGTGTCGCCTTAAATATTTCACTACTACCATTACATTCCCTGTCCACCACTAACAATCTTAAGCAGATGTCCCACTAATCTCTTATATAAAAAAAGATTTAAAGCAGAGCTAAAATACTTTATTTTTCATTTTGGATGGAGTAAGGGAAGGTTATAACCTCTGTCAAGTGTTTTTTTTTTTTTTTTTTTTTGCCATTTGTGTCCCACGGCGGAGATTTCCCTTCACTTCCTGTCCCATAGCCAAAGCAAAAAGTGAGAGAAAATCCCTCCAAAGTCAGTAAATTCTTGGTGGTCACCAGGGTAAAGATGGGAAGAAAAAATTTTTTAAAAAAAAGTGTGAAATATGTTCTTTTAAAATGATAATATATCTATAACACGGTATTTAAACTATATAACATGAAGACGTTAATGAAAGATTCTGAGACTTTATGTAATGTTCTGTCATCTGAAGACAAGCAAATCCTGGAATACAATTTAAGTACACTGTACTTCTCAATGCAGCTCTCAGACAAGAGAAATGTGCATTTCTGCCACTAGGGGACATAACAGGGGAAAGGCTCCAATTTAGTTTGCTTTAACCGCTTTCCTGCAGCCCTATAGCAGAAATACTGCTACAGGGCGGCAGGAGTGCACAACATTACGTATACATACGTGATTTTGCATTTGAGAGTAGGGGACAGGCGCGTGCCCTCCCCGCACCGCTAATCACAGCCTCAGCTGTCAATCACCGGGTCTCACCCGGTGATTACTTGCTGGTACCCGGTGACTACCAAGTATTACTGATAGGGGGAGAGAACTGTATGTAAACAATACAGTTTTCTCCCGTCAGCTCCGGCACACTGCTTGGTATGGTTTTGCATAGCAGAGCCACACCAAGCAGTGTGCTTGCAGTTGTAAGCACAAACAGTTTTACTGTAAAACTGCACACAGCTAACCAATGATTGCCCCACATGTTAACCCCTTCCTGCCCAGTGCCATTAGTACACTGTCAGTGCTTTTTATTAGCACTGATCACTGTATTGGTGTCACTGGGGATGTCAGCGACACCAAGTCAGTTCCCGCCAGTGTAAGAAAGCCTGCCGCAGTCCCACTATAAGTCGCTGATCGTCACATTACTAGTAAAAAAAAAAAAAAAAATTCCAGTATCTATACCGCCACTTTTAAACACTAACTTTCACGTAAATCAATTAATTTACACGTATTGGGATTTTCTTTTAGCAAATACATGTAGCAGAATACATTTTGTCCTAAATTTATTACAAAATTTTAATTTTTTATTTTCACTGGACATGTTTAATAGCAAAAAGTCAAATATATTGTTTTTTTTCTCAAAATTGTTGGTCTTTTTTTTTATAACGCTAAAAATTTAAAAAAAGCACAGGCGATCAAATACCACTGAAAGAAAGCTCTATTTGCAGGAAAAAAAAAGGACTTAAATATCATTTGGGTGCAGCGTTGCATGACCACGTAATTGTCAGATAAAGTATCGCAGCACCGTAACGCAAAAAAAATGGCCTGGTCCAGAAGGGGGTAAATCCTGAGGAGGGCAAGTAGTTAATAAACACAAAAACGGCTGGAACTCCAATTTAACTAGACAATCCTTGATTGGCTTCATCCATAAGTGCTCCTGAAGAACAAGAAAGTAAAGCGTACTCACCAGTTCATAATGCTGTTTGGTGAGGAGGAGGATCCCTCCAACATAGGTCTTGTAATGATAAAGGGGGTGAAGTTCTGGGGAAGCCACGTGGAAAGGTCCCCTTTCTGGAAACCCATAATCCAGATCTGGGTTAAGAGGTAGCAGGTCAACATCATGCATAGCAATGTAGTCCGTTTCATTTCCACTCTCTAAGAAGCCCACATTTATCAAAGAAGCCCTGTTAAACCTGAAATGTAAAAAATATGTAACTTTAATGAACAAAGAAGTGGAATTTCAGTGACGTGAAACAGTATTTTTTCTGAACGATAGCCAACTCTTTATCATAGTAATTACAGGCAGTGGTCTTTTAGGTACAGTATAATCAGCTACGTATTCTAATTCCACGTAGAATATGGTTTTAATTCATATGTAAATTAATTAAATATTACTTTCTGCCAGGAGTTCAGCTTTACATTTTACATCTGAATAGTGCATAGCATGTTACAACAGGAAAACTACATGTTGGGAGCTATTGCTTTTTTATTGCCTCTATTATCCAATATAATTTCTTACTAACCAGCAACACAGTAAGCAATTATTTCAATGCTAGCAAATTGAGAATATAAGAAGCCTCAGCAAAGCCAATTGGGATTTTGTAATGTGAGCCACACAGTATATGAAGTTTACTTGCTGTAATTGCAGGATTTTTAATGATCATACCGTAGGACTACAAAACAATAAAATAAACATTTGTAATCAAAATTATCCAGAATGCAATCTGTTCAGAAAAAAAATACCATTCAGAAATACAAATTAGTCGGACTATGACTCATGGCCATATGCAATGCCAATCCTTTTTAGAAGTCTCCTTTGAACCTCTCAAGAAGCTCTATATTTGTACATCCAAAGTTGAACCCCAGCAAACATTTACAGAGGATGACAAAAAAATGGAAACACAATGATTTTTCAGGTGTGAGAGTGACAACGTTTTGCTTTGAAAGAGGAAGTGATGTAGCATTCTTTTGCTTCCGCTGTGTGATGAGACACCTAGCTAACAGATGAGAAGCCTCACTTTCGTTATTTACTGCGTAAGCTGCTAGTAATACGGAGTCATGTCAGAGCTTACTGAGCTTCAAAGAGGGCAAATTGTTGGTGTTTGTTTAGCTGATGCGCCTGTAACTGAAGTTTCCAATTTATTTGCGGTGTTGCAAGGTACAGTATCAAAAGGATATGAATGCATATACAGTTTCCAGGAAAAAGCCATATGTGACAAAGAGAAAAAGACAAAAAGGGTATTGTGCAGGATTGTGACCTGGAATGAGAAAACTGCTGCAAAAGTGACTGCAGTGCTCAATCTCAGTCCCATGAAGACAGAGTCCCGTGAAGACTGTGACTAAGCTCGGCAGTCACTTTTGCAGCAGTTGTTTTCTCATTCTGGGTCACAATCCTGCACAATGTCCCTTGCTATGTGAAACAGGTAATCACTTTTACACCTGCAAATAATGTAGTGTTTCCAGTACATTTATCCAACCCCTGTATATACACAGATGAAATACATATAAGAGCCATTTTACCTTGCAAAGGATCTACTGTAGATTTCTGTCTATTCATTCCTGAAATTTACACAGCAAGATCAAGAAAACAACACCACTTCCCGCACTATAATTAAAGTATAACTAAAATATTTTTTTTTCCTTTTAGTCATAGTGGAGAGGGATTAGAACACCTGTCAATTTTGTCAATAGCGGTCTGTGCCCATTAAGTAGATTTACCCTCTTCCAATGGGAACATTAGTTCTGGTGACCATGATAACACCACAGAATTCCCTCACTTTGGAGGGATTTCCTCTTCCTTCCTAATTTGGCTGTGGGACAAGAGGTAAAGGGAAATCTCCCCTATGGGACAGAGATGACAAAAAAAAAAAAAAAAAAAAAAAAAAAAAAAAAAAAAAAAAACTTACAGGGGTAATAACCCTCCCTTACTATATCCAAAATGTTACACTAACAAAAACACTGACGACTCCACCTGTCCAATGAAAAAAGTGAGGGAGAAGCAGAAGATTGAGGAAGTCATCTCTCTGATTACTCCTCCAATCAACATGTTCCTTGTAAGCACATATTCATGCAGCCAAGCTGAACAGCTCCCAGAGGTGCTGTACAGGAGAGTACAAATGCCTGCAATCAAGTCACGTTCAGGTAAAAGGTACTTACATTAGTTGTAGTTAGAAAAACACCATTTAATTAAGTATTAATGCATGTCTTTTAAATCTGCCTGAGGCTTAGCTGTAATGTGTGAAATTTAAGTTTTTTTTTTTTTTTTTTAGTTTTCTGTTTATCCTAGTACAATCCTAGTCATATTTTATTTTCTTTCATTAGTGTTCCTTTTGGGCGCTCAGTGACAACAATTTTGCTATACTTGTATAGAGCAAATATAATCCTGTCTGTATTGATAATCAACATGCATTCCATGTAGTTGTAAAACCAGTTTTTAAGAACACAAAAAGTGCATCTACCAGTTTTACAAAACAATTCTTAACATGGGAATTATTTTCTTGCTTGAAGGAAGAATCTCTAAAGAATGGTAAGAAGGCTTTTCTGATAGGATAACTTTGTATGATGACCTGCCTTATAACCACCTTTAAAGATTGCTTTGCTTTTACATTTCAACTGATGAAACTATGAAGTATAGCACACAGTTGCCGTCTGGACACTATGGGGTTGATTTACTAAAACTGAAGAGCGCAAAATCTGGTGCAGCTGCACATGGTAGCCAATCAGCTTGCTTCTACTCACTCAATTACACTTTGAACAATAAGGCTCTGATCACACTAGTGCAGTTTTGCGGGCCGCAGCATGACAGCCCATTAATTTGAACAGGCTGCCGTGCCTGGCAGAACATCTTTGCACCTTTCCAGAAATCACAGCCCGCACTAGGAACCGCACCACAGTGTGGTTCCCAGTGTGGGTGGCATGCCATTAAGATTAATGGCACCCATCTGTGGGTCCTGTGTTTTGTGTGCAGGTTTTTGTTGCTGCAAGATGAAGTGCGGGTCCTGCACTGGCTTTCACCTATACTAGTGTGAACTGAGACTAAAACCTGGAAGTTGATTGATTTTTACGCAAAGCTGCACCAGATTTTGCACCTCAAGTTTTAGTAAATTATCCCCTATATAATCTTTTATTTTTTAATTCATCTCTTTATTATGTATTTATACAAACAACCTTAAAACATCTTCCTATACATCATATGCTTTCTGATTTTCCCATAATATACATACATTGATTAACCCACCCCCTCCCACTCCCCCCCCCCCCCTTGTCATCACAACCTTGTCTCTATCTGTATCCATTTTCCCTTATCTTTCCTTTTGTCTAATGTTACTATGACTTCTTAATCTGCCTCCTTTGCTCTAATTAATTGTGCGTAAATTTCAGAGTTTTTTAAATGTCCTCCATACACTCCATGTTCTTTCAAACGTTCCCATCTTATCCTTTTCTAGACATCTCAGTTCTTCCATTCTAAAAGTACCTTCCACCCTCTCTACCCAATCCACCATCTTGGGGACGTCTGCTAATAACCAGAACTTTGGTATTAAGCCCTTTGCTGCGCTAATTAAATGGTACAGAACTTTATTCGTATATATTTCTATTTCTAAATTGAGCTCAAAATAGTAGAATATGCATTTCAGTGGATCTTCCTGGATATTTACGCCACTTATTTCCTGGATATAGTGAGCTATTTTCCTCCAATAATCTTGTATCCTCGGACAACTCCACCAAAATGTGTCCCATGTTACCCATTTCTCCACATCCTCTCCAGCACCATGGGGAACACTCCCACTGCTGCTTATGAGCTATAGTTGGTGTTACATACCATCTTGCCAAGCACTTAAAGTTCATCTCTACAGTACACGTTTGTTACTTTATGTGTAAGATATCTTTCCTCTGCTGGGGATTGATTTTTATTCCTATCCCCTATATAATCTAAGAGTAAAACTGTGACATTAAGTAATGAAAAACTCCAGTCAAATGGAAAAGCAGAAACAGTTGTTGAAACTAAAAGACATTACAAATTTAATTTTGCCTTATTTTCTTAGCAAACAGTGTAGGAATAGCCAACATGCAGTCATGACACCCTGACATTTGCTGTGCCCAACCCCTCCACTACCTCATGCCGATTGACAAGCTAAATCCAGCAAGATAGTCACATGCAAAACAGGTTATATATTACAGACATAAGGCAGGGGTCTCCAAACTGCGGCCCGAGGGCTGGATATGGCCCTTTGCTACCCTTTATCCAGCACTTGGGGCATGATTCCTCCCACTGTGACCAACAATGTGGCAGCGCTTCTTCCATTGAAACGAATGAAGGTGTACTATTCTTCCCATTAGAACCAATGATGGGGCACTACTCCTTCTACTGACAAACCCTGAGGTCATGTTTATTCTCATTGATGATGTGGCCAGGACTTTTTCTATCCTCACTGGCCCTAATCCGGTCCTTCTAAAGTCTGGAGGACCGTATACTGGCCCTTTGTTTGAAAAGTCTGGAGACACCTGTAATAGGGTATATCAATGAGCACAGCCCTGGAATCCAGTGTTATTTGATTTCATCTTCTTACTATGGGTATCAGGTAATGTACTCTAGTGTGAGCAGTAAACTAACAGCAAAATGGCATTCCTGATAGCACCACACACACAAAAAAACAAAAAAAAAAGTACATGCATTGTGCAGAGCCAGTCAAAGCTACTATTTTTTTTCTTTTAGAGGCAATGGAAGAGGACTGACCAGACACAAGTATTAATTTTCTGTACTCTTCTAAATGTTAAAGGGAACTAGCGAAAGAAACAAGTAAAAAAACAAAATGTAAACCGAATATATTTATTAAGCTCTAAAGCTCTAATAACGTCTAAAAGAGCAAACTGAAAACCTCAAAAATCTGTGGCACCGTGTTCTGCACATTTCCAGGTTACCCAACAGTGTTAAAGGCTGGCCTGCCACCTCTCTGCTTTTTGCACCTTCCCATATTTATCTGCTCGTTAACATGATACAACTTTCTGCCAATTGTGTTTTTTGCGAATGGAGAAACCGTCAACAAGAAAGTGATTATATTCTACCAAGCAAACGCTGTTTGATTTTTACTTCACACAAAGGGTTTCAGTTGTATTACAATTACATATTACATTTTAGTTTTGAATAGAACAGGGTCCAATTAAAACCCCTATCTATTGCCCATTAATAGATTTTTTTATTCACTTACCATTGCAAAGACACAATAGATAGTGAGTGGAAATCTCTAAAGAGTTAAGAGACATCCCCCCCCCCCCCCTTAGACAGCTGTCACCAGAACAGGTTAAAAAAAAAATTCCTATTCTATTCAGAGTACACTTTGAAATTTTCTCAGTGAATGTAAAGTGTTTTCTGATTGGATAGGGTGGAGAAGTGAGGCAGTGATATCATAATCTCCACCATCAGAGAAAACTTTGCATTCATTGAGAGAATGCAAAAAGGTCTGAGTGGCACCAATGCCAACCGAGTGACCTCCTTTGTTCACTAAGGAGCAGAGCAGCCATTCAGCATGGGACCCAAAAGCTAGTAGAAAACAGTGTGGCAGCAGTGCCTGCTACAGGGATTTCCAGATTCCACAGGGATCAGCCAGGTATGGCACATACTTACTATGGTCCAAACTGGACCAATGTAGCTATGCAAAAACAGCCATATCTGGAATTCAGCGTTAATGTATGATTAATTTGGCATATTCTAAAGTTTCAAGAAGTACCATTTATGATTAAAAACAACAAAATGCTTTACATATTTTACTTCTTCAAAGTGAACCTAGATTCTTGCCCATAGAGGTTTTCACCTTTTTCACACTCTGATGCCCTAGTCTGTATAACTTTAAAAAAAAAAAAAAAAACCAATGGGTATTGCTGCAGCCTCTCTGTCCATTGAGGAGAGAGAGACAAGAGAGACGCTCCTTTTGTGCACATCACTGGATAGAATGCATAAACGGTAAAACTTCTACCCTTAGAACCACTTTAACCCTGTCTATACATATCCCACTATCAGTTGTAAACCAGATATGAACACCATGCTTCCTAACAGTGTTATAGACCTGAGAGTTGGGTTACTACATTATATGTTACTGAGGGGAAACTCAGTGTATCCTTCTTTGACAGTGGAGGCAGATTGAGTTTCCTCTCATTTCACATTGTTAAGAAAAGCTTGCAGTCTGCCCAAAGCTTGCTGCAAATCAAACATATACCTGTAGAAAGGTAAGACTTTTTTTATAATGATTACTTTTAGGTACGCTATATGCATGGCAACACATAAAAAACATAGTGAGGTCCTTCAAACTTCACTGCAATAGTGGAAGTAAACTTTAAGAAAGGTACCATCAAAGAGCATGGATAGAGAATTGAAAGCATACAAACCTATAATGATCCACTTGATTTATTATAAATATATGGTGGCGGATTTTCTTCTCAGACAGGTACTGGTGCATGTGGGGTACAAAGCTTAGGAGTTCCTCAAATCGTTCCCTAAAAGGAATAAGTAAGGCAAGACGATGAGGACCCCATGAGGGATCCTCACTTATAGTCCTAGGAACTGGTGGACAGGGCTGCTTTGGAGATCTCTCTTCATGCCTCTTGACATCTCCTGTGCAGCTAAATTGCAACCAGAGCATTGATAAGAATCCCAGTAGTAAGCAAGTCAGAAACAGTTTGAAGATGCTGCATTTCCTTGGCAGAATCCCAAGAAAAAGGCCAGACCTAAAGATATAAATTGAAAAGGTGATTAAAAATAACTTTTCAGCATAAACATCCTGTACAAGAAGGCTACCTGCATGGAAGGAGAGCTCATGCATCATAGCAAGTTACATCTGAATGTTGATAATTTATATTATTGTAAAGTAAGGACACAATGTAAAATCAGGCTTGTGTGTAAAACTACCCATGCCTATCAGTTGGATATAGGAGAGGTATAACCTACACTAAAGAACACAACCCTTAACGGTGCATGCCACATCAGCAGGGGCATATTTACCACAAGGCAAACAAGGCATTTGCCTAGGGCAACATCTTTCAGGGGGGCAGCACTACCCCCCTAAAGAAGAGACACACACAGCATGGGGACCAAGTGGGATCTGAGAGAGGCTGCAGGCTTCTTGATGGTGTATGCAGAGCCTAACTCTTGCTTCCGGGGATGTCCGGAGTGGTGAAGGAGAATGTCTTCTCTCTCGCCGGGGAGGGGGGTAAGCAGTGTATGGGGGGTGGTGGTAGTGGAAGGCTCTCTTCTCCAGTGGGAGGGGCTGGGGTGTTGCTGGTCAATGTCAGGCACTCTTCATGGGGGAGGAGGGTGTTGGTCAGTGTCAGGCTCTCTGGGGGGGGGAGCCGATTTTTGTGTTGCCTAGGGCAGCACAGAACCTAAATACACCACTGCGCTTCAGGCAATATGTAAATAAGTATTTAATGTAATGCGGTCCAGAAAAATCCTGCAGCCATTAGATGCCGGAAATGAGAAAACAATCAACACAGAAGTGATTTTGCTACTATGCAAAAGAAGTTTCTCAGTTGTGCAGTAACAGGATTGCAAAATAGCAAATCATGAAGGAGGACCATACACTACTTGATTGATGCAATTAATCCAAATGTCACTTACAGCAATCAGGCTGTAAGTACAGCATCAAACGTAAAATAGGATTCTGAAACATATTGGTAACTCTTGCTGTCAATGAGCAGTCTTCTCTTTTTCTTTAAGCCCCTGTTCACACTTGAGCATGAACATTTTTATGCAAATTTGAAAGCATTTTTTTTAAATGTTTTTCATGCGTTTCCATACTTCAGATGTTTTTTTGGTCCAATAAAAAAAAAACAATATCATCTGACATCATGTCATCATCGTCCTGGTATCTGCTTCCTATTTTTTTCTGTTTGGTGTTGTGGTCTTTTTGCTATTGGAGCTGTACAGCCATGTCCATTTTGCCAATTTCTTCCCAAGCCCTCTGCCACTGTCCTTGTAATTGGCATCACTGGACTTGTAGAGGTTCTTGTAGGTCCTCAGCGGGCAGATGAAAGTCTCCACATTCAGCATGGAAAGTCCAGGATCCTACTTTTTTTTCACATGTTAGGTTTTTAGGAAGAAGAGAAGTGGTTGTTATGCGAAAAACTCAAGAAAAACAATACTGAACATTTCCAGGAGGTCTGGCTGAAGTCTATGGGACCAAAAACATGCAATTCTATTTGGAAAGAAAAACATATGTACTCTTTCACAAGACAGCACAATGCTCAGGTGTAAAAAGGCACTGTTGAATATAATGCCCATCTGTAGAGGCCCTTCCCGCTCTCACAGGCTTTGCGGAGGCAGCAGCAGCCATTGGCTTCTGCTGTCAGTCAAATCTTGTGACGAAGGAGTAGAGGGTTGAGCAGCGCTGTCTGGGTCTATGGACGCAGGCAGTGCATCTTAAGATTGAGCCCAAGTCTATTGCACAGAGCAGGTATGTATACCATATTTGTTATTAAAAACCACTTTACAATCACTTTAAAGGCTAACTCCACTTTTAGCAACATGTTACAAGTTACAGCTCCAACATGTAACACATTTCACATCACTAGCTGTCAAATTTTTTTTTTAAAAAAAAGTGTCTGCATCACAGTAATCTGTGAATGAGAAACTACAAGTCCTGGCAGCCTTAGCTGTCGGCTTGTAGTTCTCAATAAACTACCACGGCGAGATGAAGCACTGCGGTAGTTCATTCAGTCCTCCTGTTAGTATATCTGCTTGCTCATGCATTCCGTACAGGCAAGCAGATATACTGACAGATCTGCAGGAGACCTGCATGGCACCAGCGATCTACTGATCGCTGGTGTAATGGTTTCCATGCTCCTGCAGCACAAAAAAACAATAAATTTACCTGCAAAATAATAAAATGCATTTATTATTTTTTTATCAAAAAGGTGAACTTATCTTTTAAGAAGCCAAACTGGCTCCTTTCCTACATATAGTTGACCCACTACTAATTCAGATAATGGCAGATTCTGGAACCAGGAAGGATGAATAGCAGCAGGCAGAACATCTACTGCCCTTCATTCTTGATTACAGATCTCCCTATGCATAGGCTTACCTTTGTGTTAAGCTAAGCAGTTTTACACCTCGGTCACATCGAGTGCGACTTGGCATGCGATCTGCATGCCATGCGACTTGCAAATCATATGCCAAGTCACACCCTATTGTCCACAATTACAGCAGTCAAATCAGTGCGGTTGTGACTTGGTTGGAGCCGTACCGATTTCTAAACTAGTACATGTACTACGTTTGGGGCGATTTGCATAGACATCTGTGTTAGATATCTTGCAAATCGCACCTGAAATTGGCATCTCACCCGACTGTGTGCTGATGGCTGCTATGTTTTATTCTCTTGCATACCCCTGCAGCTGTGATCTTCTGGTGCTGTGAGGGTTAATATGAGCGGCTGTACCCGTGACGGACACTCGTCAAGTTCCGACTATACCATCCCTTTTCCCTCCTTCATTTGTAGAAGTCAAACTATCCATTCCCACAATAAAAAGCATTCTGTGATTGAAGGAGGCAAACCTTTTATTCATCCTCCTTTCATAGAATGCTTTTTATTGTGGGAACGGATAATATGGCTTCTATGAATGGAGTAGTTCTGGGGTATGCAGGGTAAGAAGAATTCGGAGTACCGTCATTAATGGAGTTTTTTTTTTCCAGGAAACTTAAAAAAGAAAAGCAAGGAGAGTTTAGCGTTCAGACGTTTCTTACCTGCTGTCTTCCCGGAGATACAGCGCCGGTTTCCTTCGTGTCAGATACATGTCTGCTAGCACACAGCTCACCGATTCCTGAACCTCACATACTCAAAGCCTTTTCCCACCAGCAATTAAAGCAGCCTGCTATCTGATCTACATCTGTCAACACATCATACAAGATCACTGACTCCCCCACCACCCACCTCAGCTATCCCTCCATGCCACAATCTGCCATTAATAACACCATAAAAGTAAACAAATAAAACAACAGCTAAAAAACAATGCACCTCTTCTAAAACTTTTCTCAAATCATCCTAGAATGAACTTGTTAGAAATAATCATCCTGCCAGCCGTACACACAGCACTAGACGAGTCACCGATGTGTACTAGGACCATGGAATGTTATAATGACACTGTACCAGGCAAGTATTTACAATTCTCAGTACAGCGTGCACCTACATAACTCTTCCCCCCGCCAGTACCAGAGGCTGGATATCTAGCACCCAGAGCCTGTCCCCTCTATCACCCTCTCTACACCCCTGTCCTGTCTGTTCCGCTATTCCTGATCGTCCTATCTCCCTTCAGCCCGTTACACGCTGGCTATTGAGAAACCCGATCCGTCGGAATACATGTCCCCTCACAAACATGGCGACCCTCTTAAAGGTTCCGGCGCTAAACGTTCCTACCTGAGATATGTTGTGCTCATCCCTTGTGTGCCCAGAATAATCTGACGAGGTGCGCTGCAGCACTCACATATCTTGCTTGAGGGCCAGTTCACACTACATACATTTCAGCTGTTTTTTTTCTGCATCCAAAACGTACAGAAAGTAGGTTATATGGTTGTCAATGTCATAGTTCACATTAGCGCTTGCAGTTCCAGTGCGTTCCGGTTGCAGAAAAAAAAAAAAGTAGAACAGTCTGCATTTTTTCTGCACAGAACTGTACTGTAAACCGCATCAAAAATGCACTGGAACACTCTGGAATGCACATGTCCCTATTTAAATTGAAGAAAAAGAGGGGAATAAACTGGAACGCTCCAAAAACGCACCGGAACACTCCAGAAACGCATAAAAAATGCGTATGCAAAAAGACATCCAGAACGCATCTGGACTCAGTTTCTAGAGTGTGAACTGGCCCTTAGTCTAGGTTCCCACCTATGCGCTTTCCGCAGCATTTTGCATTTTTTGTTCTATACACCTCAATGGAGATGCTGCATTTTGATGCGTTTTAATCTGCCTAGCAACAAGAAAAAAAGCAAAACGCATCAAAAATGCATGTGCAAAATGCAGCAGAAATGGCTCAAACGCAAACTGCATAGGTGTGAACCTAGCCTTATCGTAAACAAATTACCTCTAAGGCTAGGTTCACACCTGTGCAGGTTGCGTTTGAGCCGTTTCTGCATTGCATTTTGTGTATTTGACATTTGACATATTCTTGATGCATATCGCATTTTTTTTTTTCATTTTTTTTTTTTCTTGTTGCTAGGCAGATTTAAAACACATCAAAAAACACAATGTATACTTTTCTGCAGTGTTTCCATTGAAGTCTATAGAAACAGAAACGCAACTTTTTGCGGTCAAAAAAGTCCTTGACCCTGTTCAAAAAACGCACAGGTGTGAACATGTCCCATAGGAACTCATGTTAAATGGACTGTACTGCCTTTCTGCTAAATGCTACAGAAAACACTTAGGTGTGAACCTAGGGTAATAACGTGTTCCTCATATTTGCCTGCAGCAGAGTTTGGTAACATGATTGTAGATTGTAAGCTCGAAAGAGCAGGGCCCTCGAACCCCTCGTGTAGTGTATTGTTACTGTGTTGTCTCATGTTATGTCATCCTTGCTACTGTACTGCGCTGAGCATACCCTTTGGCGCTATATAAATACTGTATAATAATAATAATAACATGGAACTTAAAATGGAGTTCCAGTCACACTATAACAAAAAAAATAAAAGCCAGCAGCTACAAAAACTGTAGCTGCTGACTTTTTTAAAAAAAAAAAAAAACAGCTACTCACCTGTCCTTTGATCCAGCAGTGTTCTCCCTGCAGCCCATTTCACCGATCGCCCGGTGTTCCTGGCGCCAGCATCTTCCATGTGGGCACCCGGCTGGGGCAGCTTGCAGCTTCACAGCTGGGTGCTTACTGGTCATGACCAAGTAGCGTTGCACTTTCTGAATGGTCTTGTCACGTGTCCCAGAAGACTACAAGGTGGGAAGGGGTAGACAACTTCTGCTTCTAATCGCCTAGGCGATCGCAGCGGAAGTAGGAGCGGGTACCTGTCAACTGCAAATAAGAAACTATCTGGATACACAGAGTGAACACACTCATCCCAGATGGCCTCCATGAGGCCACTGAAACTTTCTACTAATCACTTTGTCTTTGTTCATCTAGTAGATACCCGACTGAACTACTGCATCCCCGTCTTGAATTTTATGTACAGTTGTGTTCAAAATAATAGCAGTCAGACGTCACTAACCTGATCAATCACTGTTTTTGGTAGAAACGATATTTCTACATGGCAAATAATTTACTAGCAGGTGTAGTAGAGTAATAGGAATCCAACAGACCCAACAGTCATGACATGCATGCTGCTGATTCTGTGTAATTGAATCACTAATTGAAAGGGGCATGTTCAAAATAATAGCAATGTGGAGTTCTATTAGTGAGGTCATTCATTCTTTGAAAAACAGGTGGCAATTATTGCCTTATTTAAGGAAGGAAGGCAGCAAATGTTGTACATGCTGGTTACAGTGCATTTCTCTCTGAAATTCTGAGGAAAATGGGTCGTTCCAGACATTATTCAGAAGAACAGCGTACCTTGATTAAAAAGTTGATTAGAGAGGGGAAAACATATAAAGAAGTGCAGAAAATGATAGGCTGCTCAGCTAAAATGATCAGCTCCAGGAAGATCAAAGAAGGTGTACCTGTGAGTACTGTACAATTAGAAGACGCCTATGTGAAGCCAAGCTATCTGCAAGAAGCCCCCGCAAAGTCCCACTGTTGAAAAAAAGACATGTGCTGAAGAGGCTACAATTTGCCAAAGAGCACATTGACTGACCTAAAGAGAAATGGCGCAACATTTTGTGGACTGATGAAAGTAAGATTGTTCTTTTTGGGTCTAGTGGCCGGAGACAGTTTGTCAGACGACCCCCAAAACACTGAATTCAATCCACAGTGCACTGTGAAGACAGTGAAGCATGGTTGTGCAAGCATCATGATATGGGGATGTTTCTCATACTACGGTGTTGGGCCTATTTATCGCATACCAGGGATCATGGATCAGTTTGAATACATCAGAATACTTGAAGAGGTCATGCTGCCTTATGCTGAAGAGGAAATGCCCTTGAAATGGGTGTTCCAACAAGACAACGACCCCAAACACACCAGTAAACGTGCAACATCTTGGTTTCCAGACCAACAAGATTGACGTTATGGAGTGACCAGCCCCAATCCCCGGATCTTAATCCAATAGAAAACTTGTGGGGTGACATCAAAAATGCAGTTTCTGAGGCAAAACCAAGAAATAGAGAAGAACAGTGGAATGTAGTCCAATCATCCTGGGCTGGAATACCTGTTCACAGGTGCCAGAAGTTGGTTGACTCCATGCAACACCGATTTACAGCAGTTCTCAGAAACAGTGCTTATACAACTAAATATTAATTAAGTGATTCAAAGGAAAGCAAAATCTTCAAACATTTTTCAGTTTATATAGTGAATGTTTGAGTTTGTAAAGAAGAATACAAACACTGCTATTTTTTGGAACAGTCTAATATTCACTTTTCTTTCAATTTTTTTTAGAGGAACAACACAAATTTGATATATTTTTCTTCATGTTTTGATTTGGAATAGAATGTGTAGTGTTCCCAATGCATTTATGTGTATGGAAATAAAAGCTATTAGAAGGATTTTGAGCTTTATTCACTTTTTTTCAACACACTGCTATTATTTTGAACACAACTGTATATGTAAAGCGCTGGAAACATAAACTGACTGCACTATATAAGTACCTGTAATAAATAAATAATAAACAAAAAAACATGGCATAACAACAACATACACTTAGTAGGCACCAGCCTACAGACAGGATTGCCTCCTGAATGCCTAACAGCAGCTACTTAACCACACTCTGAAAAGCCATGCACTGTACATCGCTTTCAAAGCATGGGCTAGTGTGAACCTAACCAAAGGGTTTGTGGTGAGTTTTAGGGTCCATTTATTTCAGAAACAGCTGAAACTTTTAAAAAAGAGGAGATTTGTACCTACCAAAAACAGTAAAATTATTGAGTCATTAATACTCTTGATCATATATGTATATTCCAGTTTTGTTTTTATCTAGTTTGCACTAAGCTTTATTATTTTTATCAAAATTGAAAATTGCTATTTCTGATTTTTTGCATCATATGCCTAAACAGAAAATACATAAATTACAACCAAGGGCAGACTGACCATTTGGAAACTCGGGCACTGCCCAAGGGCCCGGGGTCAGTAGGGGGGCCCCATGAGATGCCCCTGGTACCTTTTTCATAGGCTTTTTTGAGTTTGGGCAAGGACACGGGCCCCATGATCCCCTATTGCCCGGGGGCCCCATGAGTTGTCAGTCCGCCCCTGATTACAACCAAACACTTTCAAATAAATTCATTCATTGCTGATGGAGGTACTCACATCTGGGTCTGTTAAGTCCATGCAGCTGCTACCTTTTAGATGTGGAAGGTCCCCAGGTCATTGCAGCTGCTGTCCCACAAAGGAAAGCTTTCTGGATTGTACGCTCTGTTATCTAGTAGCTCATTCAGCTGACCCAACCATAAAATTTCATACAATGACAGAAAACAGGAAATACCTGTAATACTTATCAGGTACACTAAGTACAAACTCTATTCAGCTAACAGCTTCTGGTCATTGCTGGTTTCTGCAGTTCTGCTAATGCAGTAAGCTCCAAAGAATGCTTTAAAGAGTCAAAGGACTCTCCAGAAAACACGTCAGTGTATTGCCGCCTTCTTCACCAGCCCTAAAATAACTTTTAAATTGTACCTCTAGTTAAAATCTTTTTAACTTTTTGATAGAGTGGG